TTTGAGAAGAGACGAGCCATGCTTGTCGCCGAGGGCCGGCCCCGGTGCCCCGTCGCCTCACGGGGAGGGAGAGGAGGGCCGGCGGGGTCTTCCCCGGGAGAGGCGGAGGCCGAGCAGGGCTCAGCTCCCCGCGCCTCCCCCGCCTCGAGGGGAACCGGCCTGTGCGCTTTGGATTCACAGCCACGAAGGATGAGGCAAAAAAGCACCGTTACCGGGAGAAAATATCCGAGTACATGACCAGAGCTGAAGACATTAAAAAACACATTGAAAAAGAGAAACAAGGTAAGGAGCTGCGATGTACATGTTCGTATTTAAATACCTGTTGTTATGTGAACATTATATGGGCGAGGTGGTTAACAGAGGACTTATGTCTTGATCTTTACTGAAAGAGACTACATTTCTTTTCAGATGGCAAATACCATAAGCAAATCAGGATAGAGGAAAATGCAACAGGTTTTAGCTATGAAAAGCTTTTCCAAGAGTACCTCACTGAGATTGTTTCTGAAGTTTGGGTGGAGGACCCATATATTAGGCAGGTTTATCAGGCAAGTAGATATTCAATGTAACTGATACAGATGTAACTACAAAAAAAATTCTAAGTTACTAAATTAAACTTTTACAGTTGTATAACTTCCTACGATTCTGCGAGATGTTAGTTAAGGGGCCGTGCAAAGTGAAAACAATCCACCTCCTCACTTCCTATGATGAAGTAAGTGTCTAGATTTTGGTTTCTGTTTCCTTGTACTCAGGTGATACCAAGTGCAAATATATACACAATATTTGTTTTTAAATATAGATTTGTTCTTACTTACCAGTACTTGTTAGACCGAGGCTCTGATGCCTTTGGCAGAAAGCGCAGATAAAGAGAAAAAATAAAAACGTAATAGTTGAACATAAATAATTTTGTAAGTTCATATTGTTCCGATAACTCAAAAAATCTTGGTAAGCAGGATCTTAAATGGAGAGCATATTTTTGTTAAAGTTTCTTGTGGAGAATGTCATCAAAACCGAAACATCTGTTGAGATACTTTTTTTTTCTCTTCCAACAGCTATATATAGTTTTCATTTTAGAGGCTTTGATGAGCTAAAACCTTTCAAACTATCATTGCATTTATTTTGGCTTGAATAGTAATCCATATCTAGTTTCAAGGGGCTAAAAGTGAGATCCTCATCCACATCCCTTAGCAAGTCTACATGTGATCTGTCTGCTTTTTATCCTGTCTTCAAAACTGCAAATCTACTTTCATTCAAGTGACTTTCTTTGGGTTTAAGTGAGTAGTAATAATGTTTTGTTGGTGAGTTTAGGAAGAGGTGACCGGAAGTAGAATATATGGGAAAAATAAACCTGGCCACATTATTTTTACTTTTAACAGGGCAGTGGGAGGAGTCAGCAGATGAGTGGGTTGGAGGAAATACAACAATCATTGAGGAATTATGGAGTAACGCTGGATGTTGCATTTTCGTCTTCAATACACGATCGAGAAATTAGGTTGGTGATATAAAAAGTCAGCGAATGCTAGTTATTTGAAGTCAAACTAGTTAACCCTAACTTTTGAGAAAATTTCTAATTCCAGCTGCGGGTAACAAAGTAGACATCAGTGGCCCTCACTGGGTAAAATTAGCCCTCCATAATTTCATGTGGTCTAACTGTGAACATAGTAGATGTCTTGCTATGCAGAGCAGTGTTGTTGATGGTTCATACAAATATCAGCAACACTAGGCAATAACTGTGATTGAAACAAGGAGCTTATGTGTCATGTAGATAGAACTATTTTTTTATTCAACATACTCATGGTTTTCACGTTTGTGAATTTTTAAAACAGATTCAACAATGGATGGATGATTAAGATTGGAAGGGGTCTTGATTATTTTAAGAAACCACAGGTAAGAATGCTTTGATCTCTTTAACTTATAGAAGAGCTCCTTCTATGTGCAGCATGTCAATTCTGTTAATTTCTGCAGGGTCGTTTCAGCATTGGATACTGTGACTTTGACTTGCGACCTTGTCATGAAACAACAGTGGACGTCTTTCATACTAAGCATACAAAGAAAATGTGATCAGATGTGACTGCTTTTAATGAGTGTTTTTATAAGCATAAAAATGCAAGATTGGAAGATGCTGCTTGAGTCCAGGTGTCCACCCTCAGAAGCAACTCAATTTTAAGTACTGGCATGGCTTTTATAATCTATAGGTTTAAGAATATTTGAGACTTTTCAGTCTGAGAAAATACAACAGTACAAGTCCCCCTTTGTACTTACTTCTTCCATAATCTTAATTAATACAATCCATGTCTAAATTTGATCTTTATTTCATAACAAACTCTCAATACTGTCTCTAAAAGGCCTCTTTACTGTCCTTTCTATTTTTACTATTTGTCTTTAGAATGTTTTGGTTTTTATATCTGTAATTGACCACCTCACAAACATTTGAAGCTGGGCTGACACATGTCCTCTTTTCCAAGCAGCCTTATTTATTTCCTTTAATTCCTGCATTCTAGTCGTGACTACTGTTCTGCTGTGTTTTGGTCAATCCCTTCATACCTTTCACAGACTTCACTAGAAACGCCAAATCTAACATTCCATTTCCCAAGCTCCTTGCATACAAACATTGTAGTGTTCAATATGCAGACATTTTAGAGTTGTCTTACGTGACTCTGCATGATGGATTTTGAGCTGGAAAGGATGCAAACAGCTGTATTCTTTTCCCTGTCACTCCTATATGTTCTTTTATTCTGTGATGTATGGTCATATGCCTGATTTCCATCCTTTGCATGAGGTGTGAAAAGGTTGTATGATCCTCTTTGGATCTTTTTCCCCGACTTTCAAGTTAAATGTCCTTTCAGCTACTCATGACAGTTTGAACTGCAGGAAGCTATTTCCCTGGTACTAAGATAGTCCCCTAAAAAATAATAGTTGATTTTAAAATTCTTTCAGAAGTTAGATACCCTGAAACTTTCTTGCTAATAATGACTCTAAGGAATATGCTAAAAATCTTTTCTGGTCTTCCCTTCATCCTCTGGAAAGCATGAAGTATCACTTGAGCTGCTGCTTCTTTTTCTCCTAATATGAGAGTTCTTGATCATTGTTAGCAAGAATCTGGCAAAGTCTGATATTCTGACTTGAAGAACAGGCAATGGCCTCTTTCACAGGTCCCATGAAAATCTTTTCAGCCTCAGGACCGATAAGTGCCTTATGTTTTCTGCTGCTTGTAATACAATATGCCTCCATATTCTAGTAGCATGCTCATGGATAGAACTTTTTGTCTCTTGTATGTTTTCTCCTGATAGCTTGTCCTTTTTTTATTATTTGCTTTCTTCTTCTTTCACCTTTTGTCATCTAATGCTGCTATTCTTTTATTCTTACCTCTAATACAACAAATCCATTCCACAGCTATCAAGAAGAAACAGAGCTGGTCTTTGCCTTGTTCTCTGGGTCACAGTTTGGCAGTGGTCTGCCTTCGTTATCCTTTTGCATAATAATGTCTGAGCTTTTCAGTGTTACATCAGCAAATAATAACATATGTGCTACAGAAGCTGTATGCTACCAGTTGGTCCCCTTAAACATTCCGTAGAATCTCCCTGGCTTGCTGATGTGATATGAGGTTTCTGGTCACTGTCATTGGTTTTATTCAGTTGTGTATAACGTATGCCTATTTTTAATGGGAATAAAGGTTATTTTTTATTATTTGTAGTTTTAGTCATCTGTTTGAATTCTTCTCTGCATTACACAGGGTAATTCAAGGAAACTGGGTAATGCCTTATAGATCAGCCATTTTTGGGAGAAGATGCACTGTAAATACAGTGTGCTTCCCAAATGTGAAGCTTTGTATCTTTTGACCTGGTCTATCAATTTCAGGGGCAAAATAAAAAGCCACCTTAAATATTTTAGATAAACTTTAAATCTTAATTGGAAATAAAATTTTTTATCCTTTCTGCATGTTGTAATACAATATGCCTCTCTGTTGTAGCAGTAGGCCACTATGATGTGGTCCTCTACACATGTGACAAGAGGCAAGCATGGTCTTCCCTCTCTTGCCTGTTTGTGGATAGAACTTTTTTTCTGCTTTCTAATTAGCCTATAATTCAGTAGCTAAGACTATGGCTTTCCTTGCAGGTATTGTGGATATGCAGTATCTGTACATAGGTACACCTAAGCCTTCAGTGACATACCAGTTGGCACTGCACTGCAATTTTTACCTATAAGCCCTTTATCTCTGAATAGTTGCTTTGACTGTCAGTAGGAACATAGTGTATGAAGAGGAATGGGCATCCATGAATGAAAAAAAAAATTACCAGAGCAATCTAAGAATACAGTTTCACAATCATTTTCTGAAATCAGGACATGTTCTTCTGTGCTGCCACTTGCACTTACGTAGTCAGGTCATCGCCTGGATTGTGCAGCCAGGACTATCCCTCCTGGCATCATCTGAGGAGACGAGCTTAAGCCACTTTCCCCGCTGGAGTCAGCTGAGTGTCATTCAGTCCTACAGTGTGACTGCCAGTCCTAGCCGAGAGCTGGATTCACCCCCCATTGACTGCTCTCCTTAACTAAAGGTAGGTTGCTTCTGCCATGCAATTCCCTCCTACCGAGTGCTTGTCAACCAGCCATCTTTCAGAGAGGACAGTGTGCACGTAACATAGCAACACCTCGTAGGCCTTTGTATGCCTCACTTGTTAAGAAATATTTGCAGCTAACAAATATGTACCAGGTATGTCACCTGGTAACAAGCCCTTTGTCTGTTACTATCTGCCTCATTTCTGGATACCATGCTTTCCTTTTAAGTCCTACCACCCCAGTTAACCTTCCGGGAAAAGGCTCTTAACATAAATTGGGTTGTGCCATGTACTGTGCCCTGAATGGAATTTACCTTGATGTGCTCACACCTTGACAGGGCAAATTTATGGCTTGATGAACCTTGCAATTTAGCTCTTTAAATCAAGGGCAGTTTGGTGAAGAAAGAATTGTATAACATAAAGGTACATAAATTCTGTAACTGCCTCGTGTGGGCAGAGTTCACATCAGCAGAGTCCGTCACTGCTGCACTGGGTTCTCTCCTACAGCTATATAGCAATAAACTGCTTCTGTTCTGATGTGATCAAAATTGCATTCTGCTTATTCAGCAATAACAGCGAAACACATCTTGAGCCTTCCTTTCATAATGTTACTTTACACTGAGCTATTATTTTTATTTAACATGAAAACTGACATTTTCAGTTCACTATTGCCTTTCAGTAACAAATTTTCTCCTAGGTGGTAACATAAGGAACCCGTTTCTTCTAGATCTGTATTTGCAAGTGTATTTCCTAGTGTAGAATTATTCACACTTTTAGCTTAGATACCAGTACCTAGGGCTGTAGTGACTCCCAGCTTTGTGCCAGGCAGCGCAGGTACGAAGGAGGCACCTATGGCCTCTGTCTCAGCCTCTCCTGCCCTCATCACATGAACCCCCACACTGAACTTCCAAATTGTTCCGCTCCTTTTGCACATGCATGGACAAGAGCCCTAATCCAGGGTGGAACCGCTGGACTGATTCACTACACAGCAATGAGCTTTATTTACTCCCATGCTTGTACAGCAGAGTCACCATCATTCTGCAAGAAAGGACCAGAAACCAGGGGCACATGCCTCTCCACACAGCTCAGGGGCTGAGACATGGCCTTTGAACAACTATCTGCAAGGACTGGGATGCAGGCCAGGGGATCCAGTGCATGAGCACAGCAGTTTTTCACCTACCCCATCCCATCTGTACCTTCTCTGCTACAGAACCAGTTTGGGATGCCTCCACCATTTTCCCTGGTTTAGGCACCAAGGTTGTCTGTCAGCACAGAGCTGCAGCCTATTGCAGTGGCTTATATCCTACAGTTTGGGAACCTCAGGTGCAGGCAGTGTGAAAACAAATTGCTAGTAGGTAATATTAAGCAAAAGCACAAGATTAAACAGTTTTAATGACTTATAATGGAAAAAAAACCAGCTTGTAGAAATTAATGCTTTCATTTTGGTTTCAATAAATTAAATAAAAAAGCAGCCAAAGTTTTAACTTACATTTTCAGAGTGCAAGTCACATTAGCATTATCATATTCTCACATAGCAGATTCCACCTGCTGTGCAACTCATCATCTTGTGGACACACTCTTAGTAACGTTGCTGCTAGTGCAGTGGTTTCATTTGGGCAAAACTTGCTGCCAGTAAGGCTCTTCACCAGTTCACCGCACAGTGCTGGTGGCAGCCACTGCTCTGGCAGATCAATGTTACAGAGTTCAATCCTTCCATGCTTTACATCCAGATCTACTTTAATGTCAAGAATGGATTCTTTATAGGCCAGGTTAAAACACGTGCTAACACTGAACTTCGGTGTCTTTCCATACACCCATTCCCAGGTTTCTAGTTCTTCAGTTTTATTAGTAATTCCAGGAAGCACAGTCTCATCAGCTGGATTTATTAAAGTGATATGATGATCTATTTGGTGTTGTATAGCATATTCTTCAACAATGGCATCCAGGAGCATCTCACAAGTTAAACTAGGATCCTCTTCAAAGAGATTTTTCACGGAGGCAGGCACACTAGGAGTGGCATTGCTTTTTAGCCCTTTATAAGGACTCCTTAGCACAGAAGATAAAACAAACTTATCTGCATTGTAGAGTAAGGTACAGTGGTGATAAGCAGTTGTCCTTCCCAGCTTTGCAGCAGTACCTGAGATTTTGTATTGTCCATCTAGCAAGATGTCATATCTGTCAGTGACGTGTACATCTAACTGGGGGCGCAAGGCTTTCAGTGCCTTCACAACTAGTTTTAGGTTTTCCATTCGTTCGTATTTTTTTCTGCTTGTAAAGAAAGTCAAATTGATATTGCCCAAGTCATGGTAAACTGTCCCTCCTCCACTTCTCCTCCTGGCTAGTTTTATATTTTTTTGCCTCAGTAGCCTGAGGTTGCATTCCTAGATGTCTCCCAATTACCACAGCAGGGGAATTTCTCCAAAGGAAAAGGACCTGTCGGTTCTCTAAGTTCATGTGGTCATGGATCCAGTCTTCCACTGCTAGATTTTGGTAAACATCATTAGA